AAAAAAAAAGAGCCAAAAAAAGCTAAAAAAAGAAACAAAGATAGAAATAGAAACGAAAAAAAACAAAAGAATTTTTCATTCAGACAAAACTGCAGTCAGAAAAATAGATTTAAAAAAAAAAAAAAACGAGCCTTAAAAAAAACTAGCAGACCAATTTAATCATTACTGCAGCTAATTTTGTTGACAACAAATTCTCATCATTCTGATTTTTTTCCACTCTCAAAATACAAACAGACAGCAACAGTAAAAAATCTAAAAAAGAGTAACAAATGAAGGAAGTGAAAGAGGACAAAAAAAAACTGAAAAAGTGAAAAAAGTTGATACGAAATAAATACAACCAAAGCAAAATAAAAACTCACACAAAACCTTATGTTTGTTTACCGACCGATAACAGCCCTATATTATTCAATTGTTTGTCTCGTACTGTAACAGAATATCTGTATGCATGCGTAAATGTCTGTATACGTTTTTTTGGCACAAAAAAAAGCAGAAACAGCGCTTTGCTTAGCAGACAAATAATTTGTAAGACCATTTCAGAGTATAAAAAAAAAAAGTGGAAAAAATGTGCAAAAAAAAATTTAGAAAATGAAACACTGTAAACTTTTGTTTTGCAGATAAAAAATGATATTGAAAAAAATATTGCACTATCAAAAATAATCATTAGCATCACGCTTAAAACTGTTTCTTTCTACCACCCCCTTCTCCACCCCAATAAAAGAATAATTGAAAGATTTTCCTCCTTTTTTTTTTTCTAAAAAGCAACCTCAAAAAGTTGCAAAAAATTAGAAGAAAAGAGAAACGAAAAACCATTAGCACAGAATCTTGAAACAAAAAAATTTTTATTTACTAAAAACCACCAATTATAAAACCAAAAATTTTAACAGTTCAAATGGTGTATCAGGCTTACTTGTAGATAGCATCCTTGTCACGTTTCAGCTGCTCATTCTGCGGATCTGTGGCCAACATACTTAATGGTGGTGGACCAACAGGTGGATATGCGCCCATACTAAAATAGCCTAATGATGCTGCCGACTCGGCTGCAGCTCCGGTATAGACATCTGAAGCCGACGGCGGTGGCCCATGGCCATAACCATCCCCATACTAAAATTAGACAAAAAAGTAGAATGTTGAATCAAGTAGTTGATTATCCGAAAAAAGAAAATTTTTTTTTGCTTTTATAAAACAAAATCTTTTTTTCCCATTTTTTTTTATTTCTCTCACTTCTTTATATTTTCCTCTTAAATCAGCTGAAAAAAAAATATTTTCAAATTCTTTAAACTTCTCAATTCTCTTGTTTTATACTTCATTACCTTTACCATCCTCCAGAAACCCTGATTGCTGATTTGCTAAAGTAAGAAAAACAAAATCCATTCAGACTACACTTTTCTTCGTCCCTCCGTTACGTTACCACCTAAGTCTTAAACTTTTTTTCACTCTTTTTACTTTTTAAAATTTGTTTTTTTTTTCTGTATATTCACTTCTTTTTCGTGCGCCACAGAAAAATTCTTCTCTATATTTCGATTTTAAGACAAAGAGAATAAGGTAGAGTGAGAAAGAAAGAAAATGGTGAACGAATGGGGAACAGGGAAAAGGGGAGGGGGAAGGGGGTAAGGAAAAAATATGACAGCGCCAGAGATGGCTCCTCACACAAACACATCAGATGCATCACACCGATACATACGAACAGCTCGCACACATACATACGTACGTACATACGTACAGACATATATACATACACAAACGTAAATATATATACATCGGATACATACAGATGCAGAAAAATATGTCCAGAAAAGAGCAGGTAAATAAGAAGAGATAAAGAGATAGATAGACAATCACTAAGAGCAGAAAGGAAGTTGGAAAAGTGAAACGAATAGAACAAAAATGAAAAAAAAAAGCTCATTTTTTTTCTTTTTTTTTTTTGGATTCCTTACGCAAACACAACAAGAATCATATCACGCAGGCAATTTTTTCTTTTGCTCCTTTTCATAGTTTGATAGAAAACAAAAAAAAGATTTTTTTTCTGTTTTAAACACTTGAAGGAAAAAACAAAAACAATAGAATAAGAAACAGTGAAAAAACAAACAAATAAATTTTAGTTGTTCATAATAACTATAAATTTGTCCATGTAAGCAGTCAGTCAGTCAGTTAGCCAGCAATCTGGTTCCTCAAAACCAGTCATTTAGACAGTTAGCTACTCAGGCTAGATCAGCTAGTAAATTTTCACTAAACTTGCATGTTTATCAATGGTAATAGTGCTGTAGGGCAGTTTTGAAAAGATACGATGACGAGCGAGCAGAGTAGAACCAAAAATTATCGCTAAAGTTGTTGCTGTTGTTGTTGTTGTTGTTTTTGTTGTTGCTCCTATCGCTATTGCTGCTACTGCTGAACACCTCTTATAATTGATATTATTGCTCTCTATTAATCGTAGTTCTCATCAAATCATAAAAACATAGAAAAAGACCAAGTCGAAAAAAAATGCAAAAAAAAAAACTTCTCTTCTGAAGTAATCTTAAGCCTAATTCTTTTGTTTTCGTCCACTTTCAAAAAGCTTTCTCTAACTGTTTTTTTTAGCTCTCTGTCTACACTATTTCCAAAATTTCTAGGATTTAGCCCAATTTTTTTTCCCCCCCCCCGCCCCGCCGTCTATAGCTTGCCAACTCTCAGTAATCTCTCATTGACACTCCATATAAAAACAAAAGATAAAAGAAAAAAAAAACAAGTTCTATAAAAAACTTAAGCATTTGATGCTTGAACTTGCCTAGAATAAATGCTACACCTATAGACTAGCGTTTTTACAGTTCCTGACTGTTACAGGAGAATTTGAGAAACTATGGACAACAACAACTGTGGTCAATGATCAACAATTTACTTGGCAGCATTTAAGCCAAAAAATATTCTTCTCCTATCCATCCCGTTCCTCTTTGCCACCACCCCTCCCCTTGTTCTCCCTTTCGCCGTGTTGGCTGACTGACTAATGTTCACCAATTGAACAGCAAAAATATCTGAACAGTTTTTCATTTTCTCAACCTGTTTAGAACTATGAAATCAGAAAGAAAAATCAATTTGCACTGTTCGTCACTTGTTTCCGTCAAAGCATTTATAACGGTTAAATAAAATAAGAAATTTTTTTCTTTTTTCTTTTTTTTTCTTGCTCTTTCGTGCTTTTTTCCATTTTTTTCGTGCTCCACAAAAATATTTATGCTAAACCTTTTTTCAACTACAAAATAACGGT